TCGCATTTATCGCTTCTCATTCTCTTACTTGGCACTCGTGCTTGTTTGCTATTACAAGCTTTCCCATCTCTTCATGCTCATTGCTGTTTATCTCGAAACTTTAGTTTTCCCATTTTTCAGTTTCTATGAGCTTTCGACTTATCGATCAACGTGCTTTTTTCTTTCTTTATGTAATAAATATTTGTGAATTTCATGTTCATTAGGCGACCTAACAATAAATGCATGCAGCTCTATGTCGTATATGGCACTTTTCACATTTATCACAGTTTCAATAAATAAGTGGTACTGGAATTAAATTTCTCTATTCAAGTACCGTATTATGATGGCAATAATAATAATAATAATAATAATGATAATAATAATTTCGTAAAATTGAAGCATAAATTTTTAAAGAATTTCCACCGGTATACTTGTCGATGTCTGAATTTCTATTTGAAATCCAATTTTTTTTTTTTTTTAATCGTGTTCTCAAATGTTTATCGATATCAAGGCTAAATAGCTGCTGCTTTTAATATCAAGTGTTAATATTAATGTGCAAGTGACGTGGGAGGGGAGGTCCGAACTTAAATAATCGACAATATACTCAAATAATGGTTTTCTAAAAATATCTTTCCCTCGGCTTCAGTTAATATTTTCCACGAATAATGCAGCACTCGAGATTCACTTATGACGTTTTTACGACACTCAATAGACACAACAATGCATTACAATTTATTATAAAAAAAAAAAATGTTTATGAATTAATAATATCAATACGATTAGAAAGCCAATAAGCCAATTAAGAAAAGCGTATTGAAAAACGTTTAAAGACTTTTAAAAATTCAATTTACTTTTCGGGCGATTTGTGTGAAATGCCCTTCAAAAATCAAGTGAAAAGTATCGTTGATAGAAAATTAATTATTTAGTCTTTAGTCATCCTTGACGCGTAGTTATAAAATTATAAATCATAGTGTTCGAATGTGTTTTTTTTTTTTTTTTTTTTTTTTTTTTTTTTATTCTCTAATATTTATACTCGCTGAATTCATTATTCGTTAAATTAATGATCGAATATTTATTTATAGTGCTATTTAAAATTAATATACAGTACATACAAATATTATCATTCTCATGGCTATTAGACATAAAGAGAAAAAAATATGAAATAAATAAATTGCATGGAAGGTTCGATGAATGCCATGAGTGAAATGTATATTAATAAATTCTACTTCGACAACGAAATGTCCACGGTGCCATAGATTTCATTCATAAATGTTATGTATTTTATTTTTCATATTCATTTTAAAACAATACGTAATAAATATCAAAAATTGAATAACAAAATAAGTAAAAAAATACTGGAAAAATTAATAGCTCGTGTGCTGACTTCCTTAATCTATATGGCAGGTAAGAATTATTACGTTACAACTCGATAGACGATAGACAGGTAGAGACTATAGTTTCGACATCTTTATAAAGGATAAAGGACAGTTATATGAATATAACAAAAAATCTTTATTTACGTTTTACAATTTTTAATACTTTAAAAATTATTTTTAATATCTGCCTTGTAATTGGCAATTACCGCAGGTAACCGCGTAGATTATAATAAAACAAAGTGCATAGAGATCAAGTTGCACACACGCGTTACATAAGTTCGTTAACATTTTTGGCAACGGTGAATTATTATTTTCAATCCAATGAATGAATATCGAATGAATAATTCGAGTATAATTAATATAAAATAGTTTTATATATTGTAATTATCGATCAATAGTCTAATCAATAGGAAGATTACAATGAAAATATTTAGAATAGAGTTTGGTAAATTTAATTTAATCAGGTTCGTTCCTATGTATGTTGTAATGAAACACTTTGAATAGAAAACCATTGCGATCGTTTATTATAGACTTCGTGATAAACGATGTTTTGCTATATGTAGATTAAATAATATATTGAATTATAACCTATTCAATATGTGCAAAAGTACGATAATAAACATGTAACTTTCTTATCTGCTTAATGTACATAAATGTTTGACGAACACTAAGTTATTGAGTATATATCAAAACATTCTTTTCTTCTTCAATCTTTTTCTTTTTATAATAACTTATTATTAAGTTATAAATAGCAAGAGTAGCATTTTTTATTGAATAAAACGTGTATTTCGCATTTGAAAATAAATACATTTTTTATGATTTTGTTCACGATTGTGTAAAATTTATACAGACCATAGGCTCACTTTTTCTCAGTAAATACGTAAACAGTTATATGCTTACGCCATACTTATAATTTTTCTAAGAACTCGGAACGTTTCATTCCATAGGCGTCCCACTTTTATATTAGATATGCATTAATTGTTGATCCTTGAAAGTCGATTGGTTTGCCTGGAAATCCAACTATCTCACAACGCTAAGTAGCCGTACTAATTTAAAACCCATAATTACGCTGATTGACACTCGTCCTCCCCTTTCTCATTTTACTTATATTCCTGCACTCATCTCGCATCCATCCGATTTACCCGACCTATTAACATCCCGTTAGATCGCATTTAACTAATAGCAGATGTTAAAAACGGCGATGATATCAAGCGGGGGCGTTATTTTTTACCCTATCACCCTCGTTATAATTTTATTTTTTAAGCCGCTCGGGGAATGAAAATTTTTCTCAACGATATTCTCTTCTTATGCAGTCTTTCTCGTAGCTAGAAATAAAAGTTTAATTTGCTTTCTCCGTAGATTTACCAACGCGTTGACAGCTAGAAGCTAAATCCGAACTTGTTTACTTTAGCACCATAAAGTAATTCTACTCTTTCGTGCATATGCATGCACATACATACGTGGCGCGCCCACAGAAACACAGAAGAGTGAGTGAGTGAGTGAGAGAGAGAGAGAGAGAGAGAGAGAGAGAGAGATAGATAGAGGGGGGGGGGCACGTATAGCAGACAGACAGACGACAGACAGAGCAACAGTTTCGCTCAGTCACTCTAGAAGATGTTCTCACAAGCGTGAAGTTGGAATATTGTGGACTATGCTCGCAGGAAAAAGAGAGAATGAATAGAAGGAAGGAATCTGGTAGTCACGCGACACGAACGTAACGTGACGCAAATATAAATATATATTTTACAAGACGCGAACGTTTCTCCAATGCCTTTGTATAAACTCGTTGATTAATGTTTTGAAAAGTGGCTTTCTTATTTCATATTTACTTTTATTGTGAATTGCGAATGAATCGACTGTCTTTATTAAAAAATCAATTGCACTTATCGCGTGTCGATGGAGCTAATTGCTTTGATGAAGATGCCAAGCATCTTACGTTTACGCGTCAATGCTAATGCCGTGGCATAATATGATGGCATCCATCTCACCTGGAACTTTCAATAATCGTATTGTTTACTATTACCATTCATTATAATAAGTAATATTTGTTTATTATTATTCGATCATCGCATCCACCTTCATCCTCCCTTATATCGCACCGATCCCCACCTTAAACAAACCCGCAAACTTAATACGAAAACATATTTAAATTGCCAATCGAAATTGCCAACACTCACTGAAATAGCAAATCCAAATAAGCGTTCGATAACAACAATTTCACCCGCACAGAAGCTCCGGACGTGGTGGACTTTCGCCCTCGCAGAGCCTAAATTTAACACTCCCGTTCAGAGATCTCGACAAGCGAATAAAATAAAAGCCATCGGCCGCCATTCGGACAAACAAGCGAACTAATCCGACTCCCCCCGCCCACAACAAAAAAAAAAAACCCCCCCTCAACACCGTTCCCCACGACCGAACCGTAAAGCTGCTCGTGACGAGAAAAAAGTGAGAAAAGTAGAGGTAGACCGTGAGTGTAGATACCGGGGTTTGGCACAACGCCAGGATATAACGGCCGGGGAGACGGCGCGTTTGGGATAAGACGGCATTCGCGATGTGTTTTGTCTGGCGGTGACTGCGAAACGTGACGGGGGTTGGGTAGGGGATGGGAGGGGATGGTAAGGGGGAATGGGGGAAGGGGGAAGGGGGACTGTTGGGCGGGGGGAGGGGGATAACGAAAGTACAGAGTTAAGATACAGAGTAACGATGAAAGTGGCGATGACCGGGAAAAGAGTGCCGAATCTATCGTTGTCCGGACCCTCTTACACTCAAGCCCCGGGAATGACCTTGTCGCGCTCACTTGACGCGTGCCTTAGCTTTATCCTTTACCTTGCTGGCTTATATCATAACTTTACGAATGACGTAAGAACCGGCATGCCGATGAATATTGCACTTTAATTCGCTATGCTTGAAAGTACGTAAGAGCAGAAAGAAAGCGAGCACGATGACGTGTTTTAGTTGTATTTATAAGTGTCGCACTTAGGATGGCAATGCCGTGTGCAGGTGCATCTACTGTAAGGGCACAAGTATACTTGTATAATTCGATTATGCGTATCACGATTATTGATTGTTCGATTAAGCGTGGGCGGTCTTTTACAGTTTAAAGCTCTTTTTATTTACAAGTTTCGTAGAGTGGATTTTGCTATGAATTTGCCACGAGGCAAATAGTATCGTTTTCACGACGAATTCGGGTACGTCGAGCGTGAAAAACCCTTGACTCACTAATTCATTTGGGATCTGGAATAAGGTGAACAAAAAGAGAAGCTCTCGAGACGATCCAGTCAGTGTAAAAGGGGCCAAGAGCGCGGGGACGAGGTCTACAAGAGGTTGTTACCTCCTTTCGCGCCTTCGCCTCGTCTCGCACAGTCCACACTCTATTACCTCCGCGCCCCAATCTATTTCGGAGAGAAACAGAAGCGAGGATTTCTGATGCCTTGGCCGGCGTCCAAGCGACGCGAGTGGGGTTTCCGCCCTCCGGTCCTCCCCATTCCCCGGATCTGCCCCCGGATCTGCCCCCGGCTCGGCCCACAGGCCGTAGCAGCGATCGCACGTCGGATTACGGATGATCGAAGCCGTATGTATACTCGCTTTGGCGCTTGCGCCCGATGCGGCAGGTGTGCTAAATGTTAGTTAGATCTCGATGCTTACCTTGCCCCGACGATTACTTGCTGCCTCGCGACGTCGAACAGCAGCTGGGAGAAAGAGGAGACGCCCTCCTGCTGGAACTCCTGCTTCTTCGCCAGATCTGCAAGGAGGAATAACGCTCGATTATAAAGTGAATGCAATAGGTTTCAATTGGGATTGGGGGCGGTTTGCGGGCTGCGTATAAAAATTTTCGTTGAAACTCAATGCAAGCACCGAACGAACATTGTCAATGACTAATCTCCATCCATTTCTCCTTCGTTATTTTTGTTGCGAAATTTTAATTGGTCTGAAAAAAGTCGCGTATTGCATTAAAGAAGTAGGTAAACGTGATCGTTGCGGGCATTAAGGCAGGCGAGTATGAGCACGGGTGCGCGATTTGTTAAAGAATAAAAACAAAAAAAAACAGGGCGGATGTGACAAAGATGGAATAACAAGATTTCGTTGATTAACCTTTGTTGGCAATCACACTGGCAACTAAATTAAATGCATATTCCGCATTATTCAATTGAATATGTATATGAATTATTGTCATGCTACGGTATTATTACAATACCAGGAGCATAATTCGTGGAAAGGTACGTTCGGAAAACATGGTAGTGTGAAAGCAAGATGAGAGCATTGTTAACGGTTACACTATGTTGTATATACTGTATATGCACGTCGTAGAAATATAGGGGAGTCACTGAGCATTACTCGACGATCATTGGCCGAACTATAATCGCGGCTTTTCACAATACCACATTAACCATGCTGTGACGTCTCGGAAAAATGAAAAAAAAAAAAAAGAAAAAAAAAAGAAAAAAAAGAAAAAAGAATGAAAAAGAAGCCTTTAGTGTTGAATGTCAAGCTAAATACACGGTACGATAAACATAACTATATATGTATTTTATAGTTCATATTGTATATTTGAATAATTTATTCTTGTAGTGACTTTAACAGCTACGATGTACGTATGTAATTTAAAAGTACATGTCGTTGGAAGAATACCTTTAAATTTTTTCCATTTTCTTGAAAATCAACGCTTTATACGAGTCTATATATTTTGCTTGTGTACGCCTTCAGACACGTTATTTACGTAACTGCTAATATAAATTAGAAAAATAAAAGCACATGAATTACGAAATTATTCGTAACAGCTAATTTATAAAAATTGCGAGATGTCACAGAAATATTTATTGCCCTTTAACCTTTAACATTGTCGTACACTCACGCGCAGTTCATGTGCATAATAAACGCATCTAGAAGAGCAAAATTTCTTATATAATATACGAGTTAATTCTTAAATTACCTTATCGATAAAACTCGATAATATCGAATTCCATATCCTGAATCAAATAATATATATCCTGTAATATGTATTTCAATTAATGGCCAATTTACCTATACCTTACTAGCTGAAAACTATTTTGGCAATTACACAAACAATGAAAAATCACGTAAAATCTAATAAGATATTAATGTAAAATGTCGATTCTCAACTAATTTGTTAACTGATAATCCTTTAAGCCCTCTATGGCGAAATTATGTGCGAAACTAAGGACAGATTCTTATTACCATATGTATTTTATAAGAATGCGTTTCGATAACTTGGTTAAAGCTTTGTTAATTCATATCTGAAAAATTCAAAGTCAAAATCGAAAGAGCAAATTGGTAAAAGAATGGAAGAGTGTCGAGGTGATTTGAAAAAGAAGCGAAAAATAAATGACGGGGACGGCATACCTATTACGTAACGAATTCAAAGCGAGTCGGATATAAAAAGAAAAGTACGGAAAGTTGTTTAAAAATTGATACTAACTTTTATCGAAGTAGCTCGAGTAAGTTCCTTCGAATCTTATATAATTTTATTTAATGAAACGAAATGTTTTATAACTTCAATCGAGCATTATTTCAATTTTTAAATAATACACGAGACAGAATTTATTAAGAACCTAATGCGCATTACTTTAATTTAACGGCAAATTTTACTTGCCATCAAATCACTTTAAATTAATATTAATATTTAAATATATATCGGATATTTTTATTAAACGAGTATATCAAATTTTACACAGAGAACTCGTTTGCAATGAAATGGCAAGATTTCTGGCGTCTTACAATGCCCGACTGTACAACAACAAAAAACTATAAAAATTAAAAATAGAATGTCTAGTATTCTAATAAATTTAATAAATGACCGTAAAACAGTAATTTAACGATTTTACTATAAAGATTCGTAATTCAATGCTCTCAATACAATTAACAACCTTAGATTATTAATTGGATTTAAAAAAAAAAAAAATTTTATTGTTTGTATTTATAGAATATTGTAAAATTTTGACAGGTAATATAATACTATAACTTTCATTTGATTTAATGGGCACATACGAGCGCGCGTACACAGAGACGCACGCACGACATGTATTATAAACTGCAATTAATATTTATGTAAATTTGTTCGTGAGCGTGCGGGCATAAGTGTAAATGTATGAACTATATTAGGAAGTACATAATATTATTGACAAAATTACTAAATATGTTGATATTCATTTTTCGGCATCGTCTAGGCAACTGAAACTGAAAATACTCTTGTCAAACTCTGATAATACATTGAAAATGATTAAATAAATCATTAAATACATTTGTCTCTAAATGAACAATAAAATCATATTCACAAAAGCCAAAATTACAAATACTATAAATTATGATATAATATTAATTTATGGCGACCATGACAATTTATATAAAATATTGATATACTGTAAAATATATGGTCTCGTTATATCGAAAAACTTTACATTCTACATTAACTGGCCATTAAGTATCTTTATTAAGCTATTCAAATTCAACTAAACAAACAAATATGTAAAGCATATTTAAATTGCATATATTATCACGTATACATAATACACTATATTTTATAAAAATAATAGCATATGGCTTTAGGTAAGGCACGACGTGAGTGACGTGGAGTTTTTCATACGATTGAATCTATCTACAATCATTATCCATATTTATTATAATATTCAATGGCTGGTAAAATCCTTGCATTAAACGTATCACAGGGAGAAGGGGGGGGGGGGCTTGTATATACATCCACTGGCTACTTCTTAATGTACGTTATTTGCATCGAGTATTGATATTTTTCCTTAAAGAGAAATTCTTATCAGTGTAAAAATAATCGTATAAAAATGTTACGTGTCCAGTAAGTACATTATATACAAATAGAATGCTGAACCATTAATGAAAACTTCATTCGGCCTTATCTTGATAGCAGTTTAATAATCCAGTATATGCTGAACTGATTAGTAAAGGAAGCACACTTATTAACCTAGAAACTGAATAAAACTAGATACGTAATTTTCTTCTAGATTCACATGTGCATTCAAATGTTAAATTGATGTTTACGTATGGTATCACTAGAAAAAGATGGAGAATTACTTGTACTCGTTTCTACATCTATATGATCGAATATAAAATACCGTATTACGTTGATAAAAAAACACACGTGTTCATGAATTGATAACAAATGAGTCCTTATCCTCATAAAACCTTATTTTTTAACACATCAAAACAAGACTATAAAATCACAGTCTTGTGTATGACGTTTTGGATCTCCTAATTATCGTAGCATCGGGGTCTGCGAACGAAACCCAAGTATAATATATACTCTCTCTCTCTCTCTCTCTCTGTGTATGCGCGCGCGCGCACACACACACACACACACACACACACACATATATATATATATATATATATATATATATATATATATATATAGATATAGTTTGTTATATGTATTTCCACTTACGCTTCTCTTACCGTTTCTTTCTTCTCCTCTTTCATTGCTTTTTCATAAATGTGCTTCCTATATTTATTAGAACTTTGATTCTCTTCTCTTTTCATTACTTCTTCGCGCACTGAAACCTTTTTCTCATCAAACACTACGAGTATACCATGAAAAACACGTTAAGTAATCGACAAATACAAATAAAAAAGCGGAAAATTTTGTTTTCATTGTCTTATATAATTCTTATGCATGAAAATATTTATTATATTAAAATCACAATAAATATTATAACTATTTTTAACATATCCAAACTAGAGACTTCTTCTTACATTTCATCAATTTATGAAAATATAAATTTTAACGAGTTATGTAGAATTTCATCGTAATTATATAGAAAAAAAAAAAAAAAAAAAAAAAAAAAAAAAAAAGATAACGAAAAGTGAAATTTAATCTATAGAGAATTCATTCCAATATTGACATTAATTTGCAAAAAATCATGTCTTAGTATAAATGTATAAATTCAAATTAAATCAGTGCTACGTTTTCCCGTGAAATTACCATAGATAATCGGTTCGATCGATGCAGTAATCAGAGACAAACGAGATTAAACTCTAATATTACATACAAAAAAATAAAAATTACTTACACTATTACTCTCGCGTATCGTATTTTCAAAAATACAAAATTCCCTATAATATTCATTCCCAATGACATAAAATTTGTGTATTCTAAAGCATTGTTAAAAGAACTTTCTAATATATTTAGGATTACCAAAACAATTTCCAAATCGAGGATAATAATTACCATATCATTATACCTATTTATATTGTTTCTCCGGGGACAAAAATTATACATTATGTTCTTCCAAAATGTTCGCAGTAATATAATGATATTACAAAAAATCAAATTTATTGCGAAAAAACAGATGCGTCTTTCATCAGACATAAACTGCCATCGGCTTAGCTATGTTAACACAAATAATTTGCACGTAAGTGACCTTGACAAACTCCATATCTTCTCGTTATGTTTGCATTTATTTTACATTACTCGTGTCGCACGAGGAGTCAACAATTATAAGCGCCTGTGCTGTTTAAATATGTTGATATGGTTTTCTCTGATACATGCCCGTACACCGGTTTTGTTATTTTTATTTTATTTATTAATTTTTTTACGATAATTTATACTTTTGGAGCTGATTGATCAGAAATGTATAATTGCACGACCACATCTGTAAATTATCGTAATTGTCGTTGCAAAATATGATTGAAAGGGCGAACTGTCAAGTCGTTTGTATTTTCTGAAAATTATATGATTCGACAGGATATGAACTTTGT